GATGCTACTATATTTATATACTTATGTTTACTGTTTCTAGCCTCTGTCACCTTACGGTGTCAAGGGGAGAAGCAAACGTCTCTACTTTCTCCTGTTTGTTGTATCGCTTGATGCATGGTATCTAATGTTTCTCTGACCCCCTCTATCCATCTTTTCCTGGGCCTGCCTCTTTCTTTGTATCCATCTAATCTCTGGCTGTATGTTCTCGCCAATATACTGTCTTGAGCTAGACTTGACACATGTCTAAACCAAAGTTATTCATTGTTTAAATACTGTAACTCACAGATATTATTTAGATATAAATAAAACTAGGGCTGCCAGCATTTTTATTCGTAAACAACCCCCCCTCAACAACCCATTTACTTCAAATCTCCACACAAACATAGTCACTCTAACAAAAAGTACTAATTTAAATTAGATAAACAAAACTGAACATTATAAAAAGGATGTTTTCATATTTGTAAACAAACATCACTGCCCAACCCCCCCCCCCCCCCCCCTACCCCCTCCCTTTCCCCAGGTGAAACACAGAACCAACACAAAGTGATTAAGCTCTCTCTCTGGGGTGATCCCACCTTACAGTACACTGGCTTTGTGCCACAAAGCTGTTCTGCCCAGGCGGAGGGTAAACAGATGTTCACCTACCGACTGCTGGGCCAGAGAGAGAGAGAGATGATATTATTGGACAGCCCCACACACACACTCACACACAGATCTTTATAATTTTGGATTTCAGAATATCCAGGTCTGGGACTTGGAGCAGACATGGCCACAACGTGCAGTGCTCAATCCCTTTCAATTTTCGGGGTGGGTGTGGGGGGGGGGGGGGCTTGCTATGTACTTAATTTGAGCTGTTTTAGCTTTAGTATTAGTCAAAAAAACTTTAGATCACTTGCACCACAAATAGGTTCATACATTATTGTCAGCTTTATTTTTCTCTTCATATTGATATTCTTTTAAATGAAAGCAACATTACAATTTAAATTGTATGTTCTACATGTGCTTATCTTCAGAATGCTGAAGATAAGAGGTGTTACTAGAGAGGGTTTTTTTGTTTTTTTTCCTAGTAGAGATTTTACGGCGCTCGCAACTGCATAAGGTCATATGGGCGCCAAAAGATTAGAGATGTTACAAGAAAGTAACAAACATAAAAAAGAAGGAGGGGGAGATCAGGACGATAGATATTTGATAGGAAAGAAGGAGCAAACCACACCAGAGCACCCGCCAACCACCCACTACTAGAGAGTAACATACAAAGTAAAGAAAAGGAGGAAGAAATGAGAAAGATAGATATTTGATGGGAAAGAACAAGCAAACCACACTTGAGCACCCACCAACCATCCATCAACTGCTGCATACTAATTACTATTTCGCAACTGCTTTTTTTCCTGGATGTTTTAATTTAGTTGAAAAGAAAGTGGAAAGCAAAGAAAAGGTAGACCTACAAGATGAAGGGAAGAGAACACAGTGAACAAACTTTTGACACGAGCACAATCAACACAAACAAACTATCAGGGGAACTGTGATTCACAGCAAACTATCAGCGGGACAATACTTAGAGAGCAAACTATCAGGGGAACTGTCGTAGATAGTAAACTGTCAGGGGAACTGCCATACACAGCACAAACTATCAGGGGGACAATACTTAGAGAGCAAACTATCAGGGGAACTGTCGTACACAGCAAACTATCAGGGGAACTGTCGTACACAGCAAACTATCAGGGGAACTGTTGTACACAGCAAACTGTCAGGGGAACTGTCGTACACAGCACAAACTATCAGGGGGGACAATACTTAGAAAGCAAACTATCAGGGGAACTGTCGTACACAGAAAACTATCAGGGGGACAATACTTAGACAGCAAACTGTCAGGGGAACTGTCGTACACAGCAAACTATTTGGTGGACCGGGACAATACTAAGTGAACTATCAGGGGAACTGTCGTAGTCAAAGATGGCAAACTGTCAGTTTGGGTTTTCACAGCACTTGCAACACAATTAAGACCATATAAGTACCATAGATTAGAGGTGTAACTAGAAAGTAACATAAAAAGAAAAGAAAAAGAGGTAAGGATGATAGATGTTTGATAATATAAGAAAAGAGGAGCAAACCACACCAGAGCAACCATCAACCATCCCCAATTCCACGGGACTGTTGTAGTTTAGTCATACGACAAACTATAAGACGGACTGCCATGGATATATTATATTCCAATAAACAAAACTGAATAAATAAAATAACAACCAGAGTACAATGGAAAATACATTCTAAAAAGCAATGTTAGAAAAAAGAAATAGGTTTTAGTTTAGTTTTAGTAAGAGTTTTATGGCACTCGCAACACAATAAGGTCATATAAAAGTGCCGAAGATTAGGCGTTATAAGAGAGTAACAAACACAAAAAAAAGGAGGAGAGATATAAGGACGACAGATGTTTGATAGGGAAGAAGGAGCAAACCACACCAGAGCACCCGCCAGCCACAAACAGGAATAGAAGGAGACCAGAGCCCACATCAACAACCAGCTGTGTGAAACAAGGACTCCATTCTTCCATACAGAACAGACACCAGTTGTCTTCTATTTTAAACGATTCACATGAGATGAGCAAAAAGGTTAACTTCAAACAGTAGCACAAAGGAAACTTGTTCTCATAGAAATGAAAGAAGAAATAATTGAGGTGTTAACGGTTTCACAAAAATACGTGGTCACCCCACGTAGAACAGACCAGGCTCCCAAATCAGCGTGAGCGTAACTCTTTAAAATTTCGTTTCAGGGGTTTGCATACGCTTTAAAACGTGCGTCTGGCAAGCCTCATTCTCAGCCCAGTCAATGATTTTTGATTGGCCCAACCACCCCCCCCCCCCAACTCCAAGTGGACACAACTCTAATTCTGGACAATATTACTTATCTATTTCTTGTTGTTACAATGAAACCTTACAGTTAATTAAAAATCGTTAGCATTCAATCATAGTCATGGTCACTCTGTGTGTGTATGTGTGAATGTGCATGTGAGTTAAATGTTTACACGATGCAAACATTCTTACTACTATAAAATTAGGAGTTATAACTGACTTCTGAGGATTAGTTTGTCAGACCGGAACAAACAAAACCAACAACCCTTTAAGTTTCTAAAACAAGGGTGTAAATACCCTTTAAGATAGAAAACCAAAGGGTGAATGAACCTGTTAAGTTGGCCTGAAAAGGGGAGCCCTGAACATGTAACAAAACAACAACAACAACAAGGGAAAGGCAGAATCTAGAAAGAAACAAAAACAGGCAAGCTTTAGACCCATGAGAGTTCTCGCATTGCTCACACTGATAAAAAACAACAACAGGAAAACACCACTACAACTACAAAAATACTTCAACGAATAACAAATAGCTGCTCCCCCCCCCCCCCCCCTTTATAGTGAATTTTCACTTTTTACAAGTTGTTAAAGAGTACAGTGGCTGAACAAGTTTACCTGAAAGTAAGCAAAAAAGAGAAAAGAAAAGAAGAGAAAAAAAGAGTAGAGCACCGCCTTGAAACAATCATCCAGATCAACATCACTACTGCCCACCTTGTCCATGAGTGGCACAACATTGAATTGTTACAGTTATAAAGTCAGTTGATTTTCTATATTGTTAATTGATAAAACCATAAGTAGTACTAACTTCAGCAAGGCAGAAATCCATTTCTTGGAATCAGGTAATAAACATACACTACTCTCATGATTCAAGAACTAGTTCATCATTCATGTACTCTGAATGTCAAAACTGAAAGTAGCTCTGTGCCACCATGCCCAAAATGTTGCGAGTCCTGTGAAATCTGACTTCAGGCTTCCTGCTATTGTAAATGTCGCAGGAGTTTTTTTTGCATAGCAGAACATATATCACTAGACAGGCAGACAAGAATATATCAAAGATTCATGAAATAATATTGCAATCACCCGTTGCACAAATAAAGTAAAATATCAGGAAATACTGGAACTCTTAAAAAAGAAAAAAAAGGGTATATATATATTATGTTGTTATGATGAAGTCAAATAAAAATGACTTCACCAGAGCAATTACACATTTTAATTAATGTCTTTTATTGCAAAGGTTTTACAAATTTAAGCTGGAACGTGAGGTATACATGAGGTAACTAACACAGGGTCACCCAAAAGTCGTTTAGTAACGTTTCAATATTTGTGTGAAGGACCTGAAAATACAACTGATTATAATTAACTGATCTTGACATTATAATCTAGACAGGAGAGAATTTTAATTTCTGATTCTCACTTACGATTCTTTTAAAAACACTATAATAAGGAATATAATACGATATTTGTTTCATTGTCAAGTTTTGTTTTGGAGAACCCTGTATCAGCGGCCGTCGGTGGATGTGAAGTGAACTGTTGGCAAATTATATCAAAACGTGAGAGATCTAAGGCAGTTTTTAGAGGTCACTGTTCTGGTTCATATAAAACAGTGGTGCGTCTGAGCAACACTCTCATCATATGAACCCTTTAAAAAATGAAATTCAAAGCCACAGATCAGAACCTCACACAGACACAGACAACCTTCAAAATACATTGTGTAGAATCAAATCACACCACAGTCTGCACTAGTCTACAGACTAAACAAACAAACAAACAAAAAAACCAAACAAAGCGGAGAAATGACCTGGGATAGGACAGACAGCAATTTTAGCCTCAGTTATTGCCAAACCCATTTCTTTCAACATCACCAAAATCATGCACTTCTACACTTCCGACTCATTCCTCTTCTATCAAAACTTATTTGCTCTGAATTTTTTTTAAATGGGTTAACGAGGTCACTTTATCTTTCTTTTCTGCAAAACTTGGTGTACAAGCATGCACATACAGGACACACATGCTCTAGATAGAATTTTACTGCTTAAAAAAATCTACTCCTAAAAAATAATGGGTTTGACAAAACCACCCACTGGGAACATAAGTATTTTTATGTTCCACATGCAGTTTATAATAAGGAAATGGTCTATCTACCTTTGACTGTACCTCTCGGTTTTCCTAAAGGATGAACAAGGTAGAGTTGACAGAAAAAGAACATCATGTCTATGCATCATTTGATAAATCAATGACGGAATAAATATATATA